CTGTATGGAGACAATATTAAAACTCTATTGAAGGAGTAAAAGAAGATTTAAACAAATGGAGAACTTCACTGGAAGGAATACTCCAGTTGTAAAATCTGTCTCCCTAAAATAATCTATAAATTCAGTACTATTCCAACAAAAATTTTAACAGGATTGTTCATGGGACTTAATAAGCTGATCCTGAAATTTATATGGAAAAAAGGCAGGCCAAGACAGTTTTGAAAAAGAAATATGAGATGCTGGGACTTATTTTATCAGTTATCAAAATTATTTACAAAGCTGTGGAAATTAGAATGGCGTAGTAATTACAAGGGAAAGACAAATGGATAAAAACACAGGAAATGGACTCCAGAAACATAAATATGAAGAGAAAGACAGACACTTAATGTGACAAAGGTGACCTTACAAACAAACAAACAAAAAATGCAGTAAGTAAAAGATGCTGTGACAACCCTTATCTAAATGGGGAAAAGTGGTCCCGACCTCATAACTAAAATAAATTGCAAACCAGTTAAAGACTTAAATGTGAAAAGCTGTGGAATAATTACAACTTGGAAAAAAGTAATATAGGGAGTATCTGTAAGACCTGGGCAATGTGTGCTTAAACAGCATACACAAAAAAAGCACAAACTATATAGGAATGGAATACAAGTTTTGTACAACACACTTACCATACAGTTAAAAGACAAACCCCATCCACCAGGCACTAATGGGTAATAACACAAAACTCAGAATAATTTTACAATATCTTTCTTTTTAAAAACAGTGACTCCCTTGCCACCCCAAATTCCTCATGTATTATAGGTGTATTTTATGACATAAAGAAAAAATATGGAAGACTATGTTGTTCTAAGCCTTTTGTGTGACTTATGAAGAGAGTAAATTTTTGAGGAAAGACAAACAATAAAAAATTAATAAATCATTTGAGATAGCAAATGTGCATAAATGTATAAATTGTGTCATATTTGCGTATGTATATATGTATAGGTATATACACACACCTACACATATATGGGGGGAGAGAAAAAGTTCTTAAATAATACAAAAGACATGCCGTAGACTGGAAGCTATTTAGAGTACACCTATTCAATAAAGTACAATAAATGGCAATCTAATATAAAAAGGGAAAAATGTAACAGTTCCTAATGAGTACCAGGTTACTTTTTTTTAATTTTTCCATAGCATTTGTTATAGAAAACACTCTGGCATCTTCATTACTCAAAGTAAGATCATTAAAAACAGAACTTTAAGAGATCTCCCATATAACAGGGAACAGTTTTTTCAGATGTTATTTTTGTAGTTGATATTCCTATTTGATATTCACTATTT